TAGAAATCTCCATAGGGAATTTTAAGGATATTATAAAACCGGAAGTACTCTTCATATACATATCAAAATTGAAACATTGAAAGCATATTACACTTCAAACAGATTGCCAAAGGGAGATAACTCTTCACAAATATTTTCTAAAAGACTTATAAATGCAATTTTTCAGGAGTCTAAAACTCCTATAAGGGGTCAAAAAGTGACCCACGGACCATATTTTTTAGACTGTCCTTTGTATGCTTAAGTCAAATCTGAAAACCATTTGAAAATTCATTGAGAAATAAAAAAAGTTATAGGCAAAGGTCTGTTTGCAATGTTGGCCCCTAAAAATCCCCTATTTTCAAACATTTCAATTTCATAATTTGATGATATTACAAGTGTATCAAAGTCATTCTGCATACAAAATATAACAGGAAAATACTGAATACTTTAAGTAGAAAATGCGCCACGATTAATTTCAATTTAAAATAAAACTTTCAAGACCCATAAAACCGGAAGTTCTTTTCGGATTGATATGAAACTTACAATATATGTTCTACTAATGAGTTCTAACATATTTCTATGCTCAAAATAATTTTTGTAGCGTAATTGTGACTTTCAAAAATTCCATCCCCCCTTCTTCAATGTTTGAAGTCTTATATCTCGAAAAGTATTTGTGTTCAAAAATTACATACGCGTACTTTTTTATTGGATTATGTCTCTAGAATTCATATCTCAAATTTGGGAGTCTAGACACTAAAATTAAAAATGTTTTCGGCTTCTTTAGAATTTTCAGTTTTCCTTTAGTAGAAACCGGAAGTGACTATTCCGGAAGTTGTTCTTGTTTCACGCACTGAGAGATTTTAATTTGCTATTTAGTGGTTACAAAATAATATACCTATTCTCAAAGGTACTCCAAAAATGCTGAACGATAGTAGTGTTCAGTATAATAATAATAATAATAATAATAATAATAAACAAGACGAAAACAATAGGTCTTTTCGACAAAGTTGAAAGCCTAAATTAGTTAAGTAAAGTAAAGTTAAGTTAATTATAATAAGTGTAATTAGTAAATTCAGTTAAGATTGAAAGAAAAATCTGAAAAGTATGAGTGCACTTAGCTATGAGAGTTGTGTCCCGGTGTTTTGCACAAAATAAAATCACAATATTCATTAACTTTAATATGTTCTTCAGGTATTAAACAATGACTTAAGAGCAGGTGTTGATATATTAAATAACATGGAAGTATTAGATAACGCCGAACGACACCAGTTTTTGAGGTGGGGGTCAACAGTTTTGTCACATTTCTATTGTAACAGTTATTCATATGCATACGAGTTTTTAACGACATTGTTTACATCAAAATGGAACTTGTCTATTGATCTCATTTGCACAGAATGTGTATTTTAATTTAAACTTTTAAAATACATCCAAAAGACAATGTTGGACAAATTGGGGCTCATATATAATTTTTATCCAAAGTATGGTCAAGTTAGCCACTAAATTAACAGGTCCCCGAGTGTCAACGATTGATATTATAATAATTTTTACGGCAATAAAATTCAACCATTCGAACATCTTCCTAAAAGGATTTTGCATCAAGAAAAGTTTGTGTCAGAATCTTTAAAGTCTGGTATAAGTGAGTGAGTTATCTATGCTCAACTCTACACAAGATATGTGTACCCTGTTAATAGGGAAATAACACGAGGAACACCGCTCTATGAAGATTTTCATTGAATTTAAATTTAGTATGCAATGTCATGCTCCACATAAAGGAGATAATTGTTCAATTAAAAAATAATGTCAGATAAACAAGGTAAGACAAGGTTAGTAAACAATTTAATACGATAAGAATTGTGGAGCATGCATGAGTAATGACCAATATGCGTTAGTTGTTAATCTCTAAGGAGGTCAAGGGAAGGTTTAATTTAGAACGAAAGTGCATAGTTATTTTACAATGTGATCTTCAAGTCAAACAAAGTTAATCAGTCAAATAAAAAATTATGAGGATTATCACAAGAGATCTTTATATTGCTAAAATTTGCATGTTCAAAAAGAAGAACTACTTCTTTGAAATACGATGACTAAAGAAATTTGATAAAAATGTCTCAATAATAATAACGTTAACGTGACAATGACTATTAAAATAATTGATTTCGGCGAGGGGAAGTGTCGAATTTCCGGTTTATAGACAAGATTATCTAAAAATAGATTTAAAATGCTGAAATATGCATTTGCTGAAATGAACGTTCAAAAAAGCATGTTACCCTTTCGCTCTTTTTCGTCGAAAAACCATTTGATATTTAAAATTCGTTTTCCATTATAATGGTGCCATCTGTAGGATGATTAAAATATGTTCTTTCGGTGTAGAATAATATCGAATTTCAGGAAAGGACAATTTTATTAAAAAATAAATTTTATGTGCATATGGTTAAGATTCGCAGAAAAACAATATGCTGTTTTGCCGTTTTTTCCCTTCGAAATACGATGTTACTATGGATTCAAGAGCAACATAATACTCCCCAATTAATAAATATAGCTTTCTCTAAAAGAACATCATATCTACAAAGTATATCTTACAATGTACTTCTTTGTTAGTCATATACAATTTTACATCATATCCAAAGAATTGTATTTTAGCATTAATTAAACACATCTATCATAAAGAAAATAAAAAGAAAACCCAGGAAATGTATTAAATGGACTGTGTAGAATATTTATGTATATTATAATTGAGTTGTTTATCCATGCTTGTGATGAGGTTTTGAAGTGAAACAGTTCTTAACGCGATTTTATAATAAATTTCTTGAACCCTTTGTCCGTGTTTACTCTGCTCCTATATTGTATTGTTTTACGGACTTTGATATTGAATACTGTACGTTATCTCCATATCCTTCACTTTAAACAGAGGATTGATTGATTTAAGCTTAATGTCCCTCTAGAAAATTTTTAACTCTTATGGAGATGCCACCACTTGCCGATGGAAAGCTGCAAATTTTGTCCTATACTCCTATACTCCTCACTCAGGGCTATTGAGCAGGGATGGATCTTTTACGTGCCGACACCTACTGCGACACGGAAACTTTGTTTATACAGTCTCATCATAAGGACCGGTCTCCTCCTAATACAGTGGGATTCGAACCAGTCTTTACTGTGCGACTCTAGAGCAGACGCTCTAATTATTATGCCACGCGGGCGACCATTCGCTCGGTTTTAAGTTCGCCAAATAAGTGCGAAATAGGCGAAATTGAAACGAGGGCATAAATTTCCCTGTACGGTAGAATCATCATTATACTTAGGGGACCAATCTTTGTGGATTTCATTGGTCACCCTTACCCATGAATTAACATCCCCATGAACGTTTATTTTGTGTAACGTATTGATTCATTGAAACATCACATTTACGAGTAACCCACGAAATTACGCCCCTTTGAATAGGTCAACTTTTGTTTACCAACGAACATTGACCCCAACAAATACAAAATGATTCCTTAGTATACAGAATATAGCTGCAGATAAAATATTTTTTTTACTTTGCACCATCTGGATTCCGTACTCTCAATTCACCTTTTCAAACAAATTAATCAGCCCGAAAAGAGTACTTTTAATTCCATGGACAACGTTCAAAGATTTAACAAAAAAATGTGCCCATTAAAATAAAGTTGTCATTTTGCAATTCTTAACAAAAATTTAATTCTTTCCAATCACTAAGTTCACATGTTTTATAAAATCTACCTATTTTAAACTACATACAATTAGGTATCTTTAACCATTATTAATTTTTCAATGTAGGCTGAGCAATGTCATTGTCATCAAACACAATCTCGTATAAGGTCAAATTCTGCCTGCAAATATTCAAAATTAAATAATTGTTTTTTTACCAACTGTATTCTCAAATGTGCATACAGCGGGTGTGATCAGGAGGCAATGGATGCTCGCTCCTCCAATCTCGTATAAGGTCAAATTCTGACTGCAATTATTCAGAATAATTGTTTTTTTTACCAACTGTATTCTCAAATGTGATACAGCGGGTGTGATCAGAAAGCAATGGATGCTCGCTCCTCCATGACATCCATATCTGATGTGTTAGGTTCATGGATGTCATTTTGTGATTTGATAGTTGTGTCTTGTAACTTGAATACTATTTTTTTTATTTCCATATTTCATTGATAGAATGTATCATACCCCGCTCTGATTTTTGATTTGACAGTAATGTCTTGTAATTTGAATATTGTTTGTTATGCCATGGCAATTTATCATTCATAGAAGGTAGTTTATCTCCCTATCTAATATGATTTGATAGTGTGATATATATAAATGCAAATAATTCATACTGCATGGAGGTTATATACAAATTTCAATTTGGCAAGGACATACCCACATATATCTACAGTTTCTTGAAAGAGCTTTCGAATTTAATAGAATAAGAAGAATTAGTTTTAAGGCTGAATACTATGACGTACTCGATTAAATGAGAACAGTAGCAAATTCGAAAAGGGATAAGTACTGTATCAATATTAAAACATGTTAATGCATACATGCATTCTAAAACTGCACAATCCACCTTGATAGATTCTTTTTCTTATAATATGATGCCTTTTCTCGTTAAAAAATATAACTGTTTAAAATGCATGAATTACACCCTAGAAAGGCAAGGTTTTATGAGCGTATACGAAATTCAATTTACAATTGAAGATATTATAATCACATTATCTTTACTTACTAAAAAGTAGGACTGTGTAAGACTTAAAATAGGAATAATAAAAAATTAGTTCCGCTGACGACAAATGCACCTGCAAATTCTTATATTCTTTGAGAACCAATCGGGCATAGTCTTGATTTGTTTAGATTTGCATACACATGCTTGATAGTTTTCGTCGTTGAGTGTGTAAACTTATTTTCATATAAATACCTAGATTCCAAGAAACATGCTTTCTCAGAAATTGTGCTCAGTGCAGTTTAAAGCTTATATTATATAAAGGCAATTCTGCGAGTTCTATCCGTACTTTCGAACTGACTTCAAAATGGAAAGCTGTCCCACACCCTGTGTGCCACAGTCACACATTTATGCGGACATAGATTTCAATGTTCGCTCACTTTTGTTGATTTTGAGCGGTACGTCAACGACTGAAGAAGGCGACATCCTAGAACTAGAAGATATCTATCAGTTACGAGAGGACCTTGAGGTTCTGATACGAAATGTATCGTATTATCACCCGATCCAGGAACTCCATGAAAGGATTCTATCGTTGAAAACAACGGTTGATCAATTTACAAAACAAGAAATCAGTATAGAAGAGAGAGTCAGATTTCAATATCAGATGCATTCGGATGAAACGAAAGACAAATTCACGGATGTCTCAATAGTTTGCAGCAAAGAGCGGGAACGAATCGAAGAACTTGAGAAGAATGAAATCAGGTATGTTTTTAACACTTAAAAGAAAACATTATTTTGAGTTAAACGTGAAGCACAAAATAAGTTTTAGAAAAGAAAATCCAACGTTTACCCGGTCACAGTTTTATGAACGGGGTTGATATTCAGCACTTTTTCTTTATTTTTAACTATTGCAAATACTATAGAAACTATACGAAAAATGACATCTGCTTTACAGATATAAAAGTGCATTGGAAAATAAAAATAGCAGAATAAAGTCATTAGAAGAGAAGGTAGCCATCCTGTCAGAGAGTAATGAAAAATTATCTTCCACAGTTAGCCAAATGAAAGAGGTTTCTGCTTAAATTGAATATATTCATTCACATTGTATTCATTGTAATTTGAATTTGTATTCTTAAAACTAACATATACTAATAGTAATACAATTGTACAATTAAATGATCACCTTTTACAGTGGAATGTAACATTTGCAAATACGAAAGACTGGATTTTGAAGAATACTCACAATCGACTCTCCATGTGCAGTGCAGAACTATCTTTCTTCAAAACAACATTCAACGAGGCATGTATTATTTTCATCTCTGTATAATTTTAATACCGTTTATAAGTGTGCTTCTGCACAGAAACTAAACCAAATTTTTGAGTCTTAAAAATTAATCAAAACAATATTCATCAGTACGAATTCCCTGTCACATGAAAATAA